CTTTCTTAGTATTTCTTCTAACTCATTTCACTGATATTCCCTCTGAGATATAAAGGCTTTTACTGACCAGATTTTGCAGGTGTGACATCCTTAGTGTCTTTCTGTTTCTACATCTCTAGGATTGGGAAAGCATCTCAATTTGCCCTAAAATTAAACTCTTTGACAATCACAGTTTGAGCTTTTCATTTAGCTAATTAGTACTTACTCTTCCAATCGCATTGTTGTTACCCATATGGGAAAGACGCAGCAGATTGCCTGTCTATTTCTTTTGATTTTCCTGCTAAATTGTAAAACATGGTGTTTATGGCTTCTTGTCACTGTTCTCTACAATCAAGAGCATAGAGTTTGAGTAACTCAATTATCTTATGAAAACGTCTTGATGCACCTGCCTAGACATGTTGGACATGCAGGGCTCACCTGTATAAAACAATGTGCATGTTAATTAAAAATTTCAGGACAATAAAAGATAGCAAATTGTTGCCTAGAAGTCATTGATGGCCAATGTCCTTTACATATATCCCTAGATATGGGTATATGAACATGAATTATAACAATAAATATAGTTTCACTTCATGATGTTCAGTGGTAAAGATGTATATTTTGAAATATTAAACTGTTTTAGGTGGAGCTTTTTTTGTTTATTGTTAGAAATTGGTGCCTCAGCTATACAGGTGCAGTTATTTATCTATTGGTTGAAGTCCAAGCAGGAAAGAAAAAGCTCACACAGATGGGATTTTGAAACAAAGGTAACAAAAGGACTGTCTACAAAGAGGTGACAGAGGTAAGAAAGCTGAGAAAGGGTGTAGAGGCACTCACGTACAGCATTACTTACTGCCTCTAAGCCTGAAGGCACAAGGAGAGGAAATCGCACTTCTCAAGCCAGGTGAGAGAAGAAGAAAAGATGAAGAGAGTAAGTAAGATGGTGAGCAGAAATTCTCTGGCTTCTCTACTCCTGCCCTTCAGTCTTTTTCCAGCTTTGGGCCGAAATTAGATGGGACAAGAAGACAGTGATTGTGGTACAAAGCGAGAAGAAATAAGCTTGGTAAATTTAAAAAAATCACTAATGGAGTATAAACTGCCACTACTATAAAATTCCATTTTAATTCATTAGGCTTTTGTTGTTGTTATTCAGTCCAATTCTATGACCCATTGTTGGAGATGAAGATGATATAAATTTCGAGCACCTAGGACATAGTAAGCACTAAATAAATATCTGCTGAATGAGCTAATGAGTGAATGAATGGGAAATTTGATTGAATCATCTGTTTGGATTTTCAAATTTAGATTAATAAATGCCTTAGTTTTATTTTATAATAAGATAATTTTAATATTTCCAAAACTGTTCTTCATAAATTCATTCTTCTTTTTATCCCTATTGCCCCATTTTAATCCTGAAGTTTATCAATCCATTTCTCTAAGATCCCTGAACTTGATAAACTTCATATTTTCCACTATCAAGCTGGAGCGTATAATTCAAGTCATCCAAGTAATCTTAATAGAGGCTGGATAATTCAGCATCCTAAAGCAGGGGGATGAAAGAGTATTAACAGATTGGCATAATACCAAATCAAGCATTGTACATTATGGGTTTTTTTCTGTTGTATTCCAATAAGGCACTGAATATTTTAAGCTAGAAAATGGCCCTGTGTCAAGGTAGAGATAGTCCTTTTCTGTGCTGAAATATAGTTCAGTTTAAGATTGAGAGAAAATTTCGTGCAGTGAGTATGAAAAAGACCTTACTGAAAAGACTTTTTTAATGTTTATTTATTTTTGAAAGAGACAGAGAGACTGAGTGCAAGTAGGGGAAGGGGCAGAGAGAGAGGGAGATACAGAATCTGAAGCAGGCTCCAGGTGCTGAGTTGTCGGCACAAAGCCCACCGCGACTCTCAAACCCACAAACCACAAGATCCTGACCTGAGCCTCAGTCCAACGTTTAACCAACTCAGCTACCCAGGCACCCCTACATTTTAAACTTTTTCTTAGGCTGTCCTGCAAATGCCAGCATCTCAGAATAATAATAATAATAATAATAATAATAATAATAATAATACGTTGATCATGAGCACTGTAAGACCCTTTTAGTAAATGCTCACTGCTTGCCAGGAGGGACCTGGGGTGCTTTAAATAAGCTTTTTCTCCCCTACCATCCAAACACTGCAACTGTAGATCACTTTTAATAATAACAATAATGTCAATAAAAATAATAGCCATCATCTATTGGGTGCCTACTATGCTCAAGCCTCATTTGCATTCTTTAACTCAATTACCTAAACAACTTTATGAAGCTGAAATGGGTACAGCATTTTACAGACCAGATAAGGTTATCTTGCTCAGGGCCATGCAGGCAGAGTGGTAGAATACATAGTGAGGAAGTAGTAGAGCCGAGGTTGAAGCCCAGGTTGTCTGATGCCAAAACCTTTGCTCTCAACAGATACACTGACAACCAACCGTCTTTTGACTCCCATTTGAACTAATATATTTCTGGCTGAGATTAGAAAAGCTCATGTCTCCCCCTTGGCTCTGCTGGGTGCTAGGAGCTTCTGAGAGCAGAAAGATAGAAATTTCATTTTTGCCATTTGTGGTATAGAGGAGGGAGATTCAGATCACTTTATTGAGAGTGACTAAGGTGAGAGAAGATCAGGAAAATGTGCAGTAAGAAAAGTGAATATCTGAAGGAAAAACTGTCATAGTTGTCTAAAGGAAAGTGTATTGTCATTCACTCTCTGTTCTCCTGCCACTAGGACATATTTTCAAAATTGAGCCAGAGACATTCAACTTGACCCATCACTGCAGCCTCTGCATTAAAAGCATTGGTGACAATACCAGCTGGTCCAGATATTCTTTCTTGACTGCTGCTCCTTCCTAATCATGGCGACACTGGACCCTCGCTTTCCATATTAGGTTTTGGTCTCTAGACTGGTGGCCTATGTGGGCTTCCGTCTCTGGCTTAACTCCTAACCTTTGACTATGCCTCATCTTCTCATGTCATCATGGGCAACAGGCTCAAGGGAAGACACTCTCTCCTAAGTCTTGATCCACTCTTACACTTGCAACCCAGCCAGTCCCCCAGCATACCCATCCAGAGAGAGATAGTTAAGCCCAATTTTTTTGAAAAGAAAAAGTTAGGGGCGCCTAGCTGGCTCAGTTGGTTATGCATCCGACTTCGGCTCAGGTCATGATCTCACAGTTCGTGGGTTCCAGCCCCACGTCGGGCTCTGTGCTGACAGCTAGCTCAGAGCCTGGAGCCTGTTTCAGATTTTGTGTCTCCCTCTATCTCTGACCCTCCCCTGCTCATGCTGTCTCTCTCTCAGAAATAAATAAAACATTTAAAAATTAAAACAAAAAAGAAAAAGTTAAAACTTCTACAGAATCAGACTATTTGTCAATTCACACCTCTCTTCAAACAATATTTAATGTGTTTTTTGTGTATTAAGTTCTGTAGTAAGTACTTTAATACCCAAATTTCTAGCTAGGATTCTATTTTTATGAATATATATATATATGACAAGATATATAACACACATATATATGAACAAGACTTTTTGTAGACTGCTTTGTAGTAAAGAGCTTATTTTGTAGTCAGTTAATTTTTATTGCTGCTTAAAAATGATTTTTCATTATTTTTAATATAGGCAAAGTGAAGACTGTCTCAAGATCTAATCTGCATACTCACTTCTGGAATTCTAGAATGTTAAAGCAAGTGAGATATTTATACCCCAAACCCAAATAGAACTCAGAAAAAATAAAAAACAGACATGGGACTTAAAATAAAAAGAGACAGAACAATACAGTGGTTAAACACATGGGCTGTAGAGTCAAATCTCTGAGGCTCCAATCCCACCTGTACTTCCAATACTAGTGGTATGATTTTAGACACATTTGTTAACCTTTCTCCATATCTGTTTTTATCTGTAAAATGAGAATTATTATAATTATAGCCTCTAGTATATGAGGTTTTATGAAAACTTAATACTATGATCTTAAAGCATGGGAAGCTCTTAGAACAGTCCCTAGCTTCGGAAGTATTTGACAAATGGCAGCTGTCATTGTAACCAGCAACAAGCAATGTGACTATTATAAGTCACAGATTTCAGGAGCATGCTGTCTTCCCCCTTACCAGCATCAGCCTTTGATCTAGAAGTCTCTTCTGTCTCAGATAATATATTCTTGCACTAGAAATAGGTTCCCTTGACCAAATGGCAATCAGTTAAGTTCTGACTGGTGGCATCACATTCATTTTAATATTTCTAAGATCTACTGTAAATCCCCACCCCCACCCCTGCCACACAATATGTCAAACTAAGGAAGGGGACAGTAAGAACAGAAATTTCTTCACTCTTATTATCCCCCATGCGTGATTCAAATGTGCGGCTGTTTGGTGTCTGCAGTAACTCTCAAGAAACCTCATTCTGTCACTAGAGATACAGCCTTTTAGGATTTGTCTGTGCTGTTTGTCAAGCTTTGCAGGCTTCACTTTAATCTCTCAGGCAGAGTGGCTGTCTTCTAAAGAGAGGTCATTCTAAAGCCTAGACAGGTAATGTATTTTCCTCTCTTCTTTTGAACTCCTTTTGTGGGCTGCCTTTCCCTTTGTGATTAGAAACAAGAATCATAGAGAGGATTCATTCAAAATCCATGCCCCTCTCGTCCCTTTTCTATCAGTATAGTATTCGAATTCAACATGGGAGGCAGACAGATGTAACATCCTGACTCTGCCACTTAGCTGCATAATGCAAGGCAATTTTCCTGATATCTTTGAGCCTTGTTAAATAATAGCAAGTGTGAGAAAGAATTAAATGAGGTGATGTATTTAATTGCATACAGTAACCTTTCAATCCTGGTATTAATTATTGCTGCATTTTCCTCTAACATCTGACATATTCTTCCATGTTCCCTCTCTGCAACTATGTCAATATCTTTATACTTTAGCAGTCTGTTCTTTTCTCCCTTTCCCCTCATCAAAGCAGATCCTCTCAGTGATCTCCTCTGAATACTTTACTCACCACCTGCTCAGATTCTGCACCCTGCTCTTCTCATTAAAACACTCTTGGTTTGGTGATCTTCCACATTCTGTTCAAAACGCTTATTCCAATTCGTCTGCATCAGTATCTGCAACACCACACAATATAAAGCAATTACTATTTCACTCTTCCTAATGTACAAGGGTAAAGCTTCAATAATTCCTCTCACTTTCTATAAAGGGCACTTTTCTGAAACACTAGAGCACTTTGGAGGAGAGCTCCTAGAGCCACTGGTAATACTGATACTGGGCCAGATTTAAAACTGGCTGCAACTGCCTCAGACAGATGCTCCTGACATAGCCACTGTCCCCACGGTCACTCCAAAACTTGAAGGTTTGGAAGGGGAAGAAAATCCCTGGTACCAGTCCAGACGGATAGAATCTACACGTATCCTCCAGATCAGGCGGCAAGTGCACAAGACAGTAATGTTTAAGGATATGGGTTTTAGAATGAAGACAATATAAAATCAGATCTTAGCAACACTACTTTTTACCTGGGTAGCCTTAAGCAAGATGTTTTAACTTTTCTGACTTTTGTTTTATTAATTTAAAAACAGAAGGATTAATAAAGCAGTATCTACTTTTGAAAGAGGTTCTCAGGGGGTGCCTGGGTGGCTCAGTCGATTGAGCATCCAGCTTTGGCTCAGGTCATGATCTCGCGGTCTTTGGGTTCAAGCCGCACGTGGGGCTCTGTGCTGACAGCTCAGAGCCTGGAGCCTTCTTTAGATTCTGTGTCTCCCTCTCTCTCTGCCCCTTCCCTGCTAATTCTCTCTCTCTCACTCTCTCAAAAATAAATAAACATTAAAAAAATAAAGAGGTTCTCAGTATTAAATGGCATAGTGAATTTGAAAAGGCTTAATAATGTGCCTGGCATATTATTTTATTACTATAATCATAATTACTGTAAAGATGGTATGCAGGTAAAGATGTATGCCTACCATCTTCATAATAATTTTGACAGCAAGAAATATGCCAGGCTGTCTGTCTATCTATCTATACACAATACATACAGATATATACATATATACACATATACATATACATACACATATACATATACATATATATATAATATTCATTCCATCTCCTTTTCTACTGCCATGGTGCTTCCTTAAGCTGCTATTATACCCTCCCTGGAATAATACCACAGCTTTTAACTAGTCATCATCCTGTTCTGCTCCTGCATCTCTCTCCTCATTATCTACAGATTTGTCAAAGGGTTTTTAAAAACATGTAGGCTAGATTATGTCATTCTTCTGTTCAAAATGGCTTTTCACTGCATTTAGGAAAAACTCTAGTCTTTAACAACTCCAGACTGGCCCCTGTCTACTTCTTCTACTTCATGTCTGACCACGTCCCTCACTCCCATTCAACTCACTTTCAGCCTTTAGTCTTCTTGCATTCTTCAGGTGCATGTATTTGCTCCCCACCCAAGGGCCTTTGCATTTTCTACGCCTCTTCCTGGAGTGCTCTTCACCAAATTATTTGCCTATTATCATATTCTATTTCTTCAGGTCTTAGTAATGTTTCCCCAAAGAGGCCCTTCTTCATCCCAGTCTCCAGTCCCCTTTTGTATTCTCCCATAGCCTTATGAATTTTTTTTAGAAAGTTCATTTTTATTTGCTTATCTATATTTATGTTTATGATTCTCAGTTTAGTGTCTGCCTCATGACCAGTATGTAAGCACAATAAACATAAGAGTTGTATCTATTTTGTTTTTTTCTTCATACCAGGTGTCTAACCCACAGACTTATGGTAGGTGCTTCATGACTGCAGAATCAGTGTTGAGTGAATTTGACAAGTGCAGGAAGGAAGCTCTTTCTACTCTTGCCTTAGCATACTTATCACCATCACAGCATCAGCAGAATCTTCACAAACACAGTAGCTATGATTTATGTTCTAAATGTGTTCTATGCATATTCTCATACAATCCTCACTATCATCCTACCATACTTTACAGAGAAGGAAAAAGAAGAATACTCAAAGTCGTAGAGTGGAACCCAGAATCAAGTCCATGCCTGGTTGACTTAAAATCTCTGACCTTGACACTGGAGAGAGAACTGAGCAAGTTACAACGTATCCAGAGAAATGAATTAGAGCTTTTCTTTTTCTTATAAAAGGCTAATTTTAAAAATCTCCCTGAAAAGATACATTCCAGTGTTTACATTTCCAAATGACCAAGAAATCAGGCTTGACTCAAAATGACATTCTTTTAATGGTAACTGGAAATTAATCATAAATTGCTTGTATTCTAAGCTCAGTAAATCTGTTCATGATGTTTCTATGTTACGGTTCAGTTTGTCACTAAGGTAAGAGAAAATTAGTAAAATTGCTTAGACATCAATGAACCACTGCACTGATCCTGGAAGAGTCATTTCCCCATCACTTTATGCAGCCCCCTCATCACCATAGTGCCCTTTTCAACTTATAAATAGAAAGACTCCATCTTAGTTTACAAAGAAAAAGAAAAGCTGAAATGTAACAGAATTTTATTTATGACTTTCCACAGCAGAGGTATTATATCACATTAAATGGTCATAGCACAATGGTAATGTGCTTTAGTTAATTAATCCTCCCAGAATTGAATTAAAGACCATTGATTTTAATAGATTTTTCTTTCAATTTATATTCTTCTAAGAGTAAAGGGGGAAAAAAGACATTTACAAAAGTTGTCATGTATGAAAGAATGTCATCACAGAGAGATGGAGATTCTTAAAAAATAACTCTAGGACTTTGTATTGGCAATATTCAGACTAAAAAGAAAATCTCCCTTTCTGCTTCATCTTTTAAAATGACTTATTAGTTAGCTTAGGGTAGCAGGTGGCCAACTGTATACAATTTGAAAGTGATCCTGAATAACAAGGTCACCAGGACTCAGAATTTTTTTAATTCTTATTTTTGTGTGGCTTCATATAAGTGTTTGGGAGCATTAGAAATAACTTTCCAGTTTTATGCTTGTGGTATTGTATACATTTGCTCCCTTTCAACTTGACCCTATTCCTCTAACCAAGAAAATAGTAGTTCATTATTCTGATGTGACTATTATGATCTAATTCATTAGCTTGGAGTACAAATGTGGTCACTGTATTAGTTGGCTCAGGCTGCCGTAACAATATCATTGACTGGGTGGTTTAAATAATCAAAATTTATTTTCTCACAATGCTGAAGGCTAGAAGTCCAAGATCAAGATTCTGGCCAATCTGCTTCCTTGTGAGAGTTCCCTTTCTGACTTGTAGACAGTCACTTTCTTGCTATGTTCTCACATGGTAGAGAGAGAGAGAGAGAATGCCTGAGGTATGAGTATGGATCCCTCTGGTATCTTTTAAGGACACCAATCCTATCAGATCAGGGCCAAGGCTTATGACCTTATTTAACCTAATTGCCTTCAAAAAGCTCCATCTTCTAATATAGTCACACTGAGAGTTAAAGCTACAACATATAAACATTGGGGGAGGGGTACAAACATTCAGTCTACAATAGTCACATTTGTTTTATTTTTAAATTAATCCAATCTCCATATAGTTAAATAAGCAGGAAGCTAAGAATCTTTTAAGGCCACTACAAGTCCTAAATTATTTAAGAACTTTTATGGCTTAATCTGTACAAAAGAGTCTATTCTGCTTAGGCATAGAAAACATAAAAATCAGATTAGTTTGCCAGTGGAGCCCAGATTTTTTGCTCCTATGTTACTTCTGTCTTTACAGAGTCCTGTGCTTCAGTAATTCCCTAATTGGTCCCAGTTCTAAACAGGTCACAGTAGTGCCCATGATCTGGGTTCCAAAATGTCTATTCAACCACAAGAGCATGGAACTGAACACAGCCTTTGCCATCAACACCTATGTCTAGATACTGAACCCGGGTTACCAGTCTAGACTTCTCCTTCCCTCATGAGTTTCCTTTCAGGGTCTTAATTTCCTTTCCAGCCATAAAATATTACTGAGACCATCTCCATCCATCAGAGCAGTGCTTGAACTTCGAAGGAAAAGGGTCCTTGAACCTTATGCATATTTATTTACCTCTTCTGTAGCAACCAGGGCCACATATTCAGGGATACTATTCAGAGGGACATCTTTTCTCAAGCCCAAAACATCTTGTAAGACTATTTCCCTAGGCAGCGGGTGTGTAGCACCCTTATATTTGCAAAACTGATAAAACTCATTAGAATGATTCTTCTGAAGGAAGAATTACACATGCAAGGAAGTGGTCAGAAGAGGCACATTTAATCATCACTCACTATCCTTATTCATATCTTTATCTACCAATTCTCTGAACAACCAAGAGGATCTTCCTTTGGATTCAAACAACTTTTGAAAAATATTTTATAGAAACAAGTCTCATGTGGTTGACAGTAACAATGGGGCTGAGTGCTCTGGCTTTCCCTTCAGAGAAGTACTTTTTACCCTGCTAGGATAAAAAAAGTATGTGGGTAGAGCTATCAAAGGCAGCTATTAGCCTCTTCAAAGATTGCCTTAGCTAAAAAGAGCTGCTTCACCCCAAATCATCTGCTTCTCAGAGGGGCCTTCATCTAATGAATGACAGAGGCAGTATAAAGGTCCAGCCATCAGGAGCTATTTTAGATCCTGAGCTTTTTGTGCAGTTGGCTGAGTTATGTCACCCAGCCCATCTCACAGTGTGACTTCTCCCTCTACCCATTCCTGGTTCCTCCTCCTCCCTTTCAATGAGGCTGATTTTTGCAGATTGTAGTAGTTACCTCCTGACATCCCTTATACACATTGTACTAGATAATACAATTCCAAACGTTAGATGGAAATATTGCAGTTTAGATAAAAACTTATTTCCCAAACTGCCTTGCAAGTTGATATGGCAAAGGAACTGTGTTTTGGCCAAGAAACTGTAAGAAATGTGCTTTTAAAGGAGGAGGTGTACCCTTTTTTCACCTTTCCTCCTTGATACTAATTGGAATGAAAACATGATGGCTGAAGACTGAGCAACTCCTTTGGACCATGAGGCAACATGGTAAGTATGGTAGAGGAGCAAACTAAGGAGGCTGAGCATCTGATACTTATAAAGCCACATCAACAGTCCAGACTGTCTACTGCTAGATTCTTTTTACATGAAAGTAAATAAA